CTTCGGGCCCTGTGCCCTGGTCTACACTCAGCCCCAGCTGAGCACAGAGATGGTGACCGCTGTGCAGCTCTTTGGTTATGTGGTCACGCCCATGCTGAACCCGGCCATCTACACGCTGAGGAACAAGGAGGTGAAAGCGGCTCTGAGAAAACTGAGAGGGGGTCAAATGCCTCCACGTTGATGTGCGGCAGCTGCAGGGGTAGCATGTGGGTCTGCAGAGAAATACATCGACAAACAGATCTGCATGGCTGCTCTGTGGCTTTTTTGAACCTCTGTCTTTCCCCATCACCATACAACCCCATCTGTCAGGATCTCTACAAATCATAAAAATGCTCCTAAAAATACCTACCTGTCTTTGACATGCAGTAAGGCTGATTTTTTCAAAGCTGCCTAAGGGATAGGCACAATCAGTGTGCACTAACATTAATAGGAATTTGAGATCCAAATCTTGTAGCTGACTTTCAAAATCTCAGCCTTATTACACAGATCTGCGGAAGGAAGTGCAGCATCTTCTGAACATGCAAAAAGGAAGGGAAAAAAATTCCCTTCATCTTCTGGCATGAACCCCAGCTCACCAGGCACCTGTCCTAGGTACTTGCCTAAAGTTCCTGGGTGAACAGTTGGACTTTTCAACATGCCCTGAAGATCAACGGATTTGTGATAAAATTTGCAAAAACCACCTAAGTGATTTGGGGACTTAACTCCCATTTTCAAGTGCTGGAGGTATTTAGGAGTCTAATTCTCACTGAATGGCAGTGGGATTCAGGCATCTGCAGACCAGATTTTTTAAGGCATTTAGCCAGTTACTTTCAATGGGAGTTAAGCACCTGACCTATTTAGAAGCCTAATGTGCCTAGTGGGATTTACTAAACCGCTGTAAAGCTAGACAGTAGGCCAGATTTCTAAAGATCTTTAGGCACCAAGTAGGATTTTCAGAAGCTTTTTCAAAAGATTTTCTCATTGAAATCAATGAGAGTTAGCTATCTAGGGCCTGATTTTTAAAGGTGTGACAGTTACGGCAATTTCCTGGATAAACTTATTGAATTAAGTTTAATCCCTTTGGGGTCCGTTGTATTAAAAATACAATTGTGTATGTGTTATTGTGGATAGAACGTAACTTTCCTAGAGACTGACTAATGTAATCCTGGGGAAATGTTAGGAACTTCTAAGAACTGTTTGGGACAGTATGTGTGAAGGGGGCCAGGACATATTTGGGAAGTCTCTACTGATTACCTAGTCCTGGAAACCCCAGATCAAAACCCCCCATCCTGCATAAAGCATGGACTAAACTTGTCATGACGGAGCTAGTTCTGAGCTGAGGCTGTTATAAGCTGGTGACCACAGAAGAGATCCCATTGTGGGGTTTGAAGGACTAATCACCCGACAGAGTCCATGGTGGAGCTGGGGTGATCTCTGGTAAGTTTATTACTGTGCACGTAGGCACTTTTATTAACATAAGAACATAAGAACGGCCATACTGGGTCAGACCAAAGATCCATCAAGCCCAGTATCCTGTCCTCTGACAGTGGCCAATGGCAGGTGCCCCAAAGGGAATGAACAGACAGGTTATCATCAAATGATCCATCCCCCGTCGCCCATTCCCAGCTTCTGGCAAACAGAGGCTAGGGACACCATCCCTGCCCATCCTGGCTAATAGCCATTGATGGGCCTATCTTCCATGAATCTATCTAGCTCCCTTTTGAACCCCGTTATAGTATTGGCCTTCACAACACCTGCTGGCAAGGCGTTCCAGAGGTTAACAGCACGTTGCATGAAAAAATACTTTCTTGTGTTTGTTTTAAACCTGCTACCTATTAATTTCATTTGGTGGCCCCTTGTTCTTGTATTATGAGAAGGAGTAAATAACACTTCCTTATTTACTTTCTCTATACCACTCATGATTTTATAGACCTCTATCATATTCCCCCTTAGTCGCCTCTTTTCCAAGCTGAAAAGTCCCAGTCTTATTAATGTCTCCTCATACAGCAGCCGTTCCATACCCCTAATCATTTTTGTTGCCCTTTTCTGAACCTTTTCAAATTCCAATGTATCTTTTTTGAGATGGGGTGACCACATCTGCACACAGTATTCAAGGTGTGGGTGTACCATGGATTTATATAGAGGCAATATATTATTTTCTGTCCTATTATTTATCCCTTTCTTGATGATTCCCAACATTCTGTTCGCTTTTCTGACTGCCGCTGCACATTGAGTGGATGATTTCAGAGAACTATCCACAATGATTCCAAGATCTCTTTCTTGAGTGGTAACAGCTAATTTAGACCCCATCACTGTATATGTATTGTGGCAAACCCAGGACAAACAGCTACAAAGGAGCGGGGAGGGGGGGTAGTAATCAGTCCCAGGGGGTTAAAAAGGCCTCTCCCAAGCCACTGAAGAGAGAGAACCATGGGGAAATAAGGTTCAGCTGGGCAAGGGGTTACTAGGGAACTAATTAGGTTCAGCTGGCTCCAACTGCTTGGGACCTTTTTAAACCCTCCCCGGCGTGGAAGGGGGGGGGGAGAGAGAGTGAGAGAACCAGGGAAGCTGCCAGTAAGTTAGAAGCAGCAAGGCTCTGAACCCTTCCAGCAAGGAAGGCCGCACTCTGTCCCCAGAAGGGAAGACAAACAAGCACAGGGAACTGACTGAGGGAGGGAATAGCCAGCCCCTGTGCTACCTACAGGGTTTTGCTTTGCCCAAGCCTGGGTCTCCAAGACTAAAAAGGACTGAGCCTGCTGAGGAGAAGGAGGTACTTTGCCACAGTATAGTTAGGATTATGTTTTCCAATGTGAATTACTTTGCATTTACCAACATTAAATTTCATCTGCCATTTTGTTGCCCAGTCACCCAGTTTTGTGAGACCCCTTTGTAACTCTTCACTGTCTGCCTGGGTCTTAACTATCTTTAGTAATTTTGTATCATCTGCAAATTTTGCCATCTCACTGTTTACCCCTTTTTCCAGATCGTTTATGAATATGTTGACTAGGACTGGGCCCAGTACTGACCCCTGGGGGACACCACTATTTACCTCTCTCCATTCTGAAAACTGACCATTTATTCCTACCCTTGGTTTCCTATCTTTTAACCAGTTACCAATCCATGAGAGGACCTTCCCTCTTATCCCATGGCTGCTTATTTTGCTTAAGAGCCTATTTTTAAATGTTTTCTCTGTATTGCTTTTACCTTAAAAATAAAATACGCTTACTTAGGGAGAACTGTGTGAACTTAAACCGGAGGCAATTACACTGTGCACCACCCCGGGGGGGGGGGGAGAGGGAGAAGCAAAGTCGGGCTGCTTAGGCTGGCTGGCTTTTGAGGGAATAATGCAGTGAAAGGAACTGCTCAGCCTGGAAAGGCCCCAGTCAGGAGGGAGAGAGATGTGGGTCTCCACCCAACAGCTAGGGAGCTGGAAGCCCGAGAGAGATGCTCCTGCTGGACCAATAAGGGGAAATACAGGTGCAGTTACTCTAAACTGTGACCAAAAGTTGGGCCTAAACATCACGGTCCATTTGAAAATCCCACTACGTGCCTATCTGCGTCTTTAGGTGGCAATATACCTTTGAAAATCTGGCCACGTCCGATTGAATTTCAGTGGGAACTGGGCTCCTGAATGGCTTTTGAAAATGGGACTTACTCTCCTACGTTAATTAGGAGGTTTTGAAAATGTTACTCGCTACATAGATAAAGCTAGAAAGATAAAAAAGGAAGAAAAAATGCTAATAGATTTAACTGAGGTGAGAATGCTACACTCATCACATACAGTGTATTCTGGATTTGTGGTGCTTATGTATTGTGTCTTCTGCACCTGTTGCCTTGAATTTTGAGTAACATACAATACGCATAGAACCTAAACCTGGGAATAAAATGGGGATTTTTTTCTTCTTTCCTGCCCCCAGCTGTTGTGTCATTGGAACTGGTCATTAAGTTTTCTGTGCCTTTTCTAGTTCTTCAAATTAAAAATAAATCCGAAACCAGTGTCTGGAGACGGCTGGGCCCATTTATGAGACCGACAAAGAACAAGTGAAATCTTAGAGAACAGCAAAAATGGCTGGACTTTAAAGCTGGAATTTCCAAAGAAAGTTAAAAGTCTCTGGCAGTTAGACACCGAGCTCTTGTGAGGTGCTTTTGAAATTCCCAATCTAAAGCAAAAGTGTGAGATGAAGTTCACCTGGGTGTGCAGAGGGTCAACTCACCGGTTCTATACCAACTTCCATCCTAAACCATTTTATACTTGCACAATTAGCCTGACAAACTCATCAGCACACATTATTATTGAGGCCAAGAGCTTAGTAGATTTCAAACAAGGATCAGAGATTGATCCGGATAACGAGAACATCTTGAGTTATATAAAAGCCAGTCATCATCATCATCATTAAGGACGAGTAGTAAATTTTCCTTTGGAGCTTTTCTTTGGTGGAAAATTGGGTTTTCAATGGACCTGCCCAGGGGTAAACATCAGCATCACCCACTAGATGGGAATATGACCCTCTACTACATCAACCCACAGTGAACTGGGCACCAAGGAAAGTAATATTGCTGGTCCAGAAAGGTGTAGAAATCTCACTACATACAGCTATGTCCATATGCGGCCAGACCCTCTCTGGTATAAACCGACATGGCCCCATTGACTTCAATTTACACCAGCTGGAGACCTGAACCATTGACTCCAGTGGAGCTATGGTGGGTTCACACCAGTTGGAGATCTGAACCATTGACTCCAATGGAGCTGCAGCCAATTTATGCCAGCTGGAGTCTGTCCAATAACGTCTAGCGGTCTGGCTCAATTGTGGTGGGCACTGTGCAGAGTCAGTCCTTGTCCTAAAGAGTTTATAATCTAAACAGCCTTAAGGAAGTGCCCTAGCCCCATTTTACAGATGGGAAACCAAGGCATGCACAGAGCAAGTGACACAGGCTGTCTGGAGTCCGACTCCAGTACCTTCACCTCAGACCCTTCCTTCTTTGGGAATCGCTGGGGGTTATTTTTTGTAGCACTGACGTGCCTACGGGCCCCTTTGTGCTGTGTGCTGCACAGAGATAGAGAGGCCGTATGGGCCCTGAGGACAGGACACAGCAAGTGCATGTGGCATACTGAGGGCGGGGGTGGGGTTTACAAAAATAAGACCATGTGGTGACAGACGTCATTTTATTTTGAGGAGTTGAAGAGCTTTGACAGTTCCAAGGGGTGGGATAATGGGATGTTCGGACCAATGGTCTGATGCTGTTTAGCTGTTCCTGTGTCCCTAAAACAAGTTAAACACCTCGGATTCTGCCCCGGGACCCCTTCTTAGATGAGCCTGACATTCTGTTCTTTTCCCTTCTCCTTGGATTAGTACATCAGAGCCACAGTCACGGACCAGGACCCCACTATGCCAGATGTTCAAACATGGGACAAAAACCCAAGCTGCCGATCCCATCACCTCCCATTGTCACATGCAGACCCCATGCAGTGGTTACAAAACCTATTTCTCTGGCTCCCATGACTGAACTCCTCCTCATTCTCCTCCCAGTCGGTAGTGACTTTAGCCTCACAACCCTGGGTGTTGTGTGGTAGTGAAATGACCCGCATGGGGAAACCGATGCCAAGGGACTTGCCCAAGGTCATACAGGGAAATAGAACCCAGGAGTCCTGACTCCCAGCCCACCCTGCTCTTACCACGAGACACGACTCCCTTCCAAGAAACAGAAATGCAACCCAGTAGTCCGGAGTGCCAATCAGCGCCTCTAGCCATAGGAGCATTGGAACAAATTCCAATAGATCCCAGGAGCCTGGAGTTCAATCGTTAGGCCCACTCCCCTCCCAGAGCCAGGGACAGAACCCAGGAGTCCTGATGTTCATCTCCAGGACCCTCTCTCCTGTCCAGTTCTCAGGCAGCTCCTGCTGGCAGCAGGATAATCATGGCTCAGGCCTTGGCAGTTTCCTGCCCCCCAGTCTCATGAGGGCAGCTTTCATCTCCTTGTTCCTCAGCGTGTAGATGAGGGGGTTGAGGAGCGGGGTCACCGTGGTGTAGAATACACCCACCACCCTGTCCACGGGGTGCTGGGACCCCGGCCTCAGGTAGATGAAGACCAGGGGCACGTAGTAGGTCACCACCACGGTGATATGTGCCACGCAGGTGGAGAAGGCCCGACGCCTGCCCTCAGCGGAGCGGATCCTCAGGATGGCCAAGATGATGTAGACATAGGACGTCAGGATCAGCAGGAAGCAGGTCATGGCCACGAATCCCACGTCAATGAATGTCACCAGCTCGTTGAGCGCTGTGTCCCCGCAGGCCAGCTTCAGCACAGCCGGGATATCACAGAAGATGTAGCCTACCTGGGTGTCCCGGCCGTAGGGCAGGCGGAAGGTGAGTGCAGTCTCTATCAGCGAGTGCAGGGAGCCCCCTAGCCAGGTCCCCGCTGCCAGGCACAGGCAGGCTCTGCGGTTCATAATGACGCTATAGCGCAGTGGCTTGCAGATGGCCAGGAAGCGGTCGTAGGCCATGACCGTGTAGAGGAAGCACTCGGTGCAGCCCAGGAAGTGGAAGAAGAAGAGCTGGGCCACACAGCCATGGAAGGAGATGGCCCCGCCGCCCGACAGGAAGCCGGCCACCACCTTGGGCACCACCACCGAGGAGACCGTCATGTCCAGGAAGGACAAGTGGCAGAGGAACCAGTACATGGGCTTGTGCAGCCGGCGCTCCCGGGCCACCGCCAGCAGGATGAGCAGGTTCCCGCACAGCGTCAACAGGTAGATGAGGAGGAAGAAGAGGAACAAGGGCACCCGCAGCTCTGGGGGATACGGGAGCCCCACCAGGATGAAATGGGTGATCTGGGATCTGTTCCCACACTCCATCCACTCCGTTTGTGTCCCTGCGAGTGAACCTGCAGTGTTTATAATTAACAAAGGGCGAAATGGGTGATTTCTGCATGGGCATTCGGCATAACACTCACGTACGGGGCTCAGAATCAAACCCAGGTGTCCTGGCTCTGCACCTGCTCCAACCCACTGGACCCCACTCCCTTCCCAGATCTGGAGATAGAACCCAGAAGTCCTGACTCCCAGCCTGCTCTGTTTTAACCCACTAGACCCCACTCCTCTCGCAGAGCTGGGGATAGAAGCCCAGACAAATTCCAATGAGAAACAAAGCACACTTGGTTAGCCGCGAGGGTGATTAACCCTCGGAACAAGCTCTCAGGGGAAGTGGCAGATTCTCTGTCTCTCGCTGTCTTCAAGACAAGAGCACTTGCCTCTGTGGAGGATGGCACTTAGTCAGATAGGAGTTGCTGGGCTTGGTGCAGGGGTAACTGGGTGAAATTCTATGGCCTTTGGTACCCAGGATCATCCTGGCCTCCTCTAGCCTGAAAATCTCTCTCTGTATGACTCTCTACGGCTGTGCGTGGTGCCTGGCCGTGTGCTTGGTGGGATGCTGCAGCCAGCGCTCAAAGCTGCTCTCTCGGCTCTCCCTTTCCCTCGTGAAATCCCTCCGACCAGACACTTCACACAGGAGCTGGGTTCGATTCGAATGTGAAGCCCGCCTCAAACCAGCCGGGACTGGCTACAGAGCATTACCCCAGAGCTGCCCACTGCAGGTTCCTTGCATCTGCCTCCTAAGTAATTGGTACCAGCCACGGCGGAAGACCAGGCTGGAGGGGCCCCAGCACTGATCCGATCAGGCAGTTTCTCTGTTTCTAGCAATCGTTTCTCTGCTCTGTTTAGTTTTCCCTTCAGCTCTGACATGTCCTTTCTCTCTGCAGTTTCTTATAACCTTGCACCTTCTCTCTGTTCTTCCTTGTGCTCTCCTCCCTTCCCCCCTTGTGTATCTCTCTCCTTCGGGATCACTCATGGCTGGGCCAATATTAAACTGTTGATGTTCGCTGTGTTTTTAAGTACATATAATGATGCCCTCCGACCACCACTGGGAAGCTCCAGTGGGCATTATTAGAAGTGTTGTTTGGGCACAGTGAAGAGGATCTGTGTATTTCATTAGTGAGGAGAGTCTGTGGGCCTGGCTAGGCTGAACTGCAGAACGCACCTGGTGCTGACGATGATGGTTACACCAAAGGTCCTGCCAGTGCTTAATTTAATGCAACGATTCTTATAGAAAACTGCTTATAGAGAACGCTCTGAGCCAGGCCTGAGCCCAGGGCTCTGCAAGGGGATGCTGCTTTGCACAGAGTGGAGTGGGTGTCTCTTCCCTTGGTGTGAGTGCCAACCCCAATGTCCCAGCAAAGTTCTAGGGGGTGCTGTGCTGCAGGGAAGGGGTGGGGCCCTGTTCTCTCTGGGTATGTCTGAACAGGGATCAAAAACCTGCAGCTGGCTTGGGTCAACTGACTTGGGCTTGCAGGGCTCTGGGGCTAAAAAACCCACCACCAACAAAAACATTCGCTCAGTACATTTCTCAGCTCGGCCCCAGTCCGAGAATCTACACAGCAATATTTACCCCTGCAGCTGAGCCAGGCCAGCCACCGGTCTTTTATCCCTTTGTAGACATACCCTCTGAGTCCGTTTTGGACCCAATGTCCCAGCACAGCAGCTGGGGGCGCGATGCTGTAGGGGGTGCTGTCTCCAGAGAGTCAGTGTGAGCCCAGCGCTCATGGCACATTTTAATCAAAGTTGATGTTTTAACCTTCATTTCTTGTCTACACTCTCACTTAGACAGTTAATTACATTCTAGTCCTAGAGGCAGCTCTAATGTCAAGCAGGTCGTAACCCCAGCTAGCACGACTCACCAAAGTGTCATGGGAGTTAATACCCTCATGTCTGTTTACACTGAGCAAATTCACTTTGATTCTTGGCTGCATGTCTATCAGATTATACAATGGTGGGTTAGCTTTCAAAGCAGGGCTACGTGGGAAAACGTTTTTCCATCCCAGGAGAATTTCTGCCATTTTGAAATTTTTCAGATCGAAAAAAGCAAAATCTCCAAAGCGTTTCTTAACCAAAAATCTCTCTCAAAAAAAGTTCACTTTGGGTAAATAAATGTTTCTTATTAATCATTTTTAAGTGTTTTAGTCAATACTGACCTTTCCCCCTTTTTAACAATTCTAAACAAGGCATTGTTTTGACTGAAAACCCCCACAACTTTTTGGGTTGACAACATTGAAACAGGGTGTTTCTACAATCTTGAAGATTTTTATTTGAGTCAGGTGTTTCACTGAGCCCAGCACTGTTTCAGGAGCACTTCTGGTTTTGCAAAATAGACATTATCCTACCAAAAATCCGCAAACAAAACCAACCAACCAACCAACCCCACACCAAACACCAGAAAAAGCCCCACCAGCTGTAAGTCAAAGGTTCGTTTTCCTGGCATCTGGCCGAGCTAAGTGGAGAGTTAGGGGAGAGTGAGGAGACTTTGAAGGATACAATTTCTACCTGAGTGCTTGCATTGCCCTGGGTCCCTCGAAGGCCCCCTCCTTTACACCTGTGAATCTCTCCTCCCTCCTGTCAGAGAGGAAAGGGTTAATCCATTTCACAGGCTGAGGGCCAGAGAGGTTGTCAGGAATTTTCATAGGGGCCCAACAGACTTAGGTGCCTCCTTTGACCTTTCCAGCATAGGTGACTCAACCAGTGTCTGGGCAGAACTTGAACCCAAATCTCTTGAGTTGCAGGTGACCCATAATAAACCATTTACAGAACAACAACTTCCATTGCTCCTATGAAATCCAGGAACTCTGCTATACAGGGCCGCCCCGGGGGGGGGGGGTGAGGGGGCAAGTGGGGCAATTTGTCCCAGGCCCTGGGCCCCACAGGGGCCCCCATGAGAATATATGGTATTGCAACTTTTTTTATGAAAGGGGCCCCCAAAATTGCTCTGCCCCAGGACCCCTGAATCCTCTGGGCGGCCCTGCTGCTACATGTTCCAGAGTGCCACATACCAACAGCCTTGCTGCTAACAAGCCATGCACTCATGGAGGCGTGTCTCCTTCACAGAGCACTCCTGTAACACGGCCCAGTGCTATGACTGCACGGGCGCCCCTTGCAGGTGGAAATGTCTCTGTTGTTTCTGAAGGACCCTGGCCCAGAACCTGAGCAGGTGAAAATGGGCAGCTGCACTTCTATTGCATTGCACTGGAGACCTAGAGCTGAAAGGCTCCATGAACGAGTCTCTGTCCAGTGCTCCCGGTGCTGGAGCAGCCTGATCTCATTTACACTGTTAGTGTGTGTATGGTGGTTGCACCTGGAGGCCCAGCTGGGAATGGAGCCCTGTTCTTCCAGGGGCTGCACAGACACAGTAACAGGTCAGGACCACACTGGGTCAGAGACTGCACAAACAGTGACAGCGACTGGAATCCCACTGCACAGACAAACCCAGAGTGACTGTGCTTGGGGACCCCACCGCGCTGGGCACTGCTCAGACACACAGAGCAACAGAAATCAGGACACCGCACTGATAGGCACTGCACAGATAAATAGTAACAGAGATCAGGCTTATCACAGGGCCACTCACCACTATGGCACCTCGTCCTGACTGCTCTGGGGATTAGCTCCTTCCAGGCCCAGCACTGAGACTGGGACCCCACTGTGCCAAGCACTGCACAGAGACACAGT